TAGAGAAGTACAACCAGTTACAGATTGTGTTTTGCAGGAATCTGAATTGAAAATAGAGCACGCTAGGGAGGAGCCTCGTAAATGTTTAAACGTTTTGAGACAGGAAGTTGCTTCCATTTACATCTCTACTAGCATTACATCTATTTTGTTCTATTGACAGATTGTCTAACTTGAGCCTGTTACCAACAAGTAATTTTTACTTTTTATATCATTATTTTTTTTTTATATTAAATGAGATGAAAGGTATAAAAACTGAGAACTATTTCATGCTGTGACTTAAAGGGTCACTCTATATGCCATTATATTTTGCATAATTGCATATGTGATTGCATATACATCATCCTAAACCTAGTGAGCGTGGTCTGAATGTGGCTTAGAACTGTATAATTATGTACAACTTGGACTGTTCTCTCTCACCACATCATAGAAAGAGCCAAGCCACAGACAGTCTATGCACGGACCATGGCTCTGCAGATAATATAATAATGCTTTGCCAGTCTTTAAAGTGGTAAAACAGTGTGGTAGTTGTAGCTCTAAAACATGTGGTAATCTACTTTTTGGCCAGTTCTGCTAAAAAAAAAAAAGGGTAATTTTTTTTATCCCATAGTGTCACTTTAACTACAAGAAGTGCATGTATCCACTCCAGCCACTCTAGGGTATATATGAAAATATTTCAAGGACACGTACAGGAATTTCATTGAATGCATCTGTCACAAAATGTGTCATCTCCAAAATATGTCTAGATGTTTCTACTCCATAATGTGTGTATTTCCATCTGCTCACAAATTTTGGAAAATCGAAATACAGTACTCTTTAGCTCAGCAGCATTCTATTGACCTTGTGACATCTATGTGATTATTAGAATATTAGTTGTGGATCATAATTTTTGTTGTCACACATGTATTGCTTTTGATCCTTGCATTTTCCACAGATAATTAAAAAGACTTTTCCTGAGTATAAAAGAAATAAGAAAAATTAATTCCGTAATGAGAACTCTACCTATAGATACAAATACTGAATTTTTTTTTTTTTTGCATAATTATTAAATAAATTATACTTGTATTTTAATCAATTTTAATACACATTTATATTTCAGCATTATAGGCCCTCTTTGTCTTGTGTGTCTATCAACATTATATTTGTCTGTCAATTACCTGTCAATTATCCCCGTTCTATAATTGTAAAGTGCGGTGGAAAATTCTGACGCTAATAATAATAAACAATAAATTCTAATTGCAAGAGTAGAATCTCAAATATGAAAATTAATATATTTTTGTGAAACACAAAAGGGATTAGGACAGTCACAAAGTATGCAAAACTATCATTATACTCGTTTCAAGTTCCCCTCTGCTCTTTTTTTTAATACACATAGATGCATTCATCTGATGTTTGAGTGACAAGGTTACACGCACTGCCTATCTCATGTTTCTAAAAGCTTGAAGTTATTTATGGTGCTTTACAGAAGAACGGATGCAGTTCCCTGTAGCCTCGTACTCAACATTTTGAAAATATTTCACATCTGTATTTTGGACTCTGAAATTAAGTATTACAAAAAATACGTTACTTAAAATTCTTATATCCTAAATGTACATCAAACAAGTATTTGAAATAAACACTTATTCCCAAATTTCCGTATTGTTTTGTATTTATTACTGCCTCTGATTTTAGCTGTCACCACTAGAGGTGCTAGCATTATCTGCACAGCCCTAATTATTTTAAAGGTCAGACTATTAATATGTCTAATATAACAATTAAAATAAAAAAGAAGACACAAAAACACCACAGACAAAAACATAAAAAAATTTTAAAAATCAAAAATGAATTTTTTTTCGTAGAGAGTATATATTTAAAGCAGGGCTTTAAATATATACTGCCTCCCTTACATTCATAGCAACTGTAATGGGTGATAAATTTCAGAAGATATGTCGAATTAAAATAAAGGGAAATTATATTATAACAGAATTGGTGAAGATAAATGACATAATCACTTAATACCATAAATAATTGTTGCTATCAGAGTTATCAAGACAAACTTTCAGCCACATTCCCACAAAGCATTGCAACTATTAATGGATGGCAGGTGGAATGCCTAATGAGACTATACAGATGCTGGTTTATCGAACCATATTTACGTTTAAAATATGGTGTTTTTTTGGATGTGCATGTGCATATATAGCAAAATATATCACATATAGGTTTCCATTCTATAATTATTCTCAAAAGCACTGTGAATGTATCATAAAATCAAGACTAAACTCCTATTGCCAAACAGAAAAGTTAAATATTGAATTACTTTTGTCCATTTTACATAAATGAAAAATAGTAAGATTACATTTTTAATCACCTAACTACCCTCTCTATTATTTAGTCATAGAAAGGTGTGAACTAATAGAAAGTAATTTGTCCAATTAAATTAGTAGAGAACTGCTTTAGTACAGCATATTGGTCCCAGTGTGACTGCATTATCAAAAAGAAATATATTTGATGCAGTTGGCAATAAAACAGTTATTGCTTTTTTTATTCCCCCACTGAAAACATTTTGTTAATGAAGACTACTTTATACGTATGTTTTGTGATTGCAGGAGGTAATGTCTATCAGGGGTCTCAGTCCACTAAAAGAAAAAAAAAGTTTTGTTTTTAAATTCTCCCCCAAGTGACAACACACGCTAGATTAAATATTGAATTCCCAAGTGTTGTAGAAGAATTTTTATATTTTTTTTACAATTTCCACATCTGAAATCTGGACTAACCCCCAAAAATAAATGCTACTTATTCTCTTCTCTAAAAGCATATTTGCAAAGTTATAAACCATTAAACTGGGATTTTTTTTTTTGTTTCAATTCCTGACTATTTTCTATATAAATAGAAAAATCTATGAAAACAAAGAATGAAAGTTTATCACTGAACACTAAAGTCATACAGATTTAGAACATTTAAAACTTTTGAAGTGTCAGTAGACATATCACACTGGTTTTATAAATATTAATGTACCAAAGTATAAGACTAAAAATACATTGTAATAGGAGCTTGCCAGATTACTAATGCTCTTATTAGAATTAAACTGCACATATATTTCTAGTTACTAGCAATTTCTGGCCTTTGGTATTTTAATTAAGAATCCAACAATAGAGCCATTCAATAAGAGGATATGTTTATACTAGTGTTGTGCTAAATGAAAAAGGCATTATGGGTCAATAGACATCAGTTTTAAAGAAATGGAACAATATCTGTGTTTCTGCATTAGAAGATCAGCATTTTAAGTCAAGATGTCAATACATCTTTGTTTGTGTGTACGTGTGTTTGTATACACACAAGACTACACTATTTATATATATATAAAGTCAGCTTTTATATCATGATAAACATAGAATAAATAGTTAGGAGCTAGTCACATTCCATTGTCACAGAGCAACTTATTAAACATTAAAGTGAAACTACACACTGTAAAAATATATATTTTTTAAAAATGGAACAAGACATTTAATAATCTGTAATTACTGAGAATGTGGTGTTAGCTATCAGCCAGTGCAGTATGCATTTAGAAACATATGCTCACATAAATAAGGTTTTTATAATGCCAAAAAAAAGCATGTTCTACTGCCCCCATAAAATTACATTCCATTTTTATGAGATAATGTGTGTTTGATTTTCTTTTTCCAGCTGTCATGTGTTATGAAGAGCGATTAGCAAAGGAGTATAAACAGTTTATAATCTGGATATAGGATGAACCATTAATTTATATTCATAACAATGGGAGAAGGGCCCACAGCACTGAGCACAACTCAAACATTCTGCACAGTGTCTGCTCATTCACATCAAATATTGTGTTGTCAAAACATAGCCACATAATGACAAAGGATTCTACAAGAATACATGTTATCAAGACATTGTGCTACCCAAGGATGTATATAAAAGGCAAGATATATCTATAAATATATCTCAGAATATAAATATGCCAGGATAAAAGTTCAGTAGAGCACAAAGGCTGAACACAGGATAATTATAGGAGGGAGTATTAAGAATACACACAGCTTTCTGTAATTAGATGTATAATATAGCAAGTAGAATGTACTCATTAATTAAACCTTGTGAATGACATGTTCATAAAAAATGGTTTAAATTACATTTTGTGTCCCAGCATGTTGGGTACATAGTGATTCAAAAGCCTTAAAGTCTATTAAAACAATATGTTTTGAGAAAATAAAATTATTTCATGTACAATATATGTTATGATGGTATTTATCCTAATACTGTAACTTTTAAAGACACACAGTTAACAATTTTACAAGAAGCAATAGAGTAGCAGGAAAAGCAGATAACAACAAACAACATACTAAAATAGTAATATAAACAAAATAATAATATTTACCTTATAAGTATAGTAGTCTAAGCACTGGGAAAAGTCCAGATTAGATGCATCTCCTCCAGCCAGAGCATTACCAGCAGCTGTTGGATAAAACCTTACATCCATGTTTTAATTGGTCTTGTCAAGTTGCAGTTTTGCCCAGTTCTGTAATATCAGCATGCAAAAATTCTCTCTAAGTCTCAGGTTCAGCAGGTAAAAGTTGCAGAATGGAACAGGGGAGGCTGCTTTTAGATGTTTTTCCTGCAGAAAATTTGTTTTCACAACAAAAAAAAGCAGGCTTGGGGAGAGACGCTAAAAAGTCCAAGAGGGTCTTGTGTGATGATCTTGCAGCAAAGGGGTCTGTTATGTTTTAAAAACTGCCCAGAACTTAACTGCAGGACTTGGCTGCACATTGATCATCATTACCAGAAGCAGCTATACACAAAGGAGCCACGCGTTTTGTTAACAGCAAGCAGCAAGCTTCCTGCAAAAGAATAAGGGTGCTGATCTGATAAAGCAGGACACCCACACTAAAAAAAATAAAAAAATAATAATATTAAAAAACTAATAAATTCAGCCCCTCTCCCCCCCAAAAAATAATAATAATAATAATAATAATATATATGTGTATACCCACTCAGGCAACAACAACTCACTTGCAAAAAAAAATAAAAAAAATATATATAAATAGCGATATAAATAAATAATAAGAATAATAAAAATAAAAGTAATAAACTCCAAACAGGTCCAGCAGACTTTTTATTCCACCAATCAGGATTTGTGCAAAGATAGATACATGAGTTTGTATTAAATGACCTCTCTGCCTGTTTAAAAAGCGGAGGAGGAGGGGTACTGGGGGGGTTATTGAAGAACAAAACAACAAAAAAAAAGTGTTTCCAGCCAACGGTTGGAGAGTGGAGTTTGAAGTGGTGAAGAGATGGGAGCTGCTTGCTGGCAGAGCTCCCTGGGTGAAATGAATAATAGGCTGTGACAAGCAGAGTCTCAATCCCTCCCTCCCTGTGCCACTCCCACTGAGTGCAGCTGCTACTGTGTACACATTGGAGTGCATGCTGCGGGCACTGACTGTGCGTTACAGGGACAGGATACTGTTACACCTACGGCGTGTGTTTATTGGACACAGTCATAGAGTGTTAATGTTTAAATGGTCACTGTGATGCTCTGCAAGTGAGACAGTGATTCACACAATGTAACAATGTAACACAGGGTGGATGCATGCCTGGTGCATTTCTACTGATACAGTGTTCTCAGGTTGATATAAATGGAATGCTGGGGAGCTTGCTGTTAGAGACACATGTATCATGTCACTAAATGGATGTATTATATATGGCAAGTGGTAATCTGTATTTTATACAGTGTGGATGCAAAATGCTGGTGATATTATTTTTCTATTGTTTTCTTTATGTATCTGGAAGTGATACTGATCTTGCCACAGGCATAGGAATAGCATTATTATTATTATTATTTCTAAAGCACCAACAAATTATGTAGCGCTGTACAATAGGAATACTGTAAGCATCATAAGCAATTCAACTGGTTGAAGTTGTTATGGTGCTTGGAGTCTTTGGACACTTAGTCCTGCATTTGACCTATAAGGCATATTCACATCCAGATTGCAAAGAATTTGATTAATGTTATATTTGCAGTATCTGTAACGTGTGTTTCATTTGTATTTTTGAATAGTTGTTATGAGCGCAGCAGCTTTGATAAATAGAATTATTTAATTTTATTAAGAGAACACCTTTCATTTTTTCGTTGTTTGATAATTGTACAGCAAACTACTATGGTATCAAAGTAAGTATTTCTTCTGTGAGGTTGCTTTTTATCATTTCATATTTTAGGTAACTATTTAGACATACTGAACAATGACACAGGATTCACATAAGAGCAACGAGAATTTACATTAGTCAAGTTTGCAGCATCAGTTCAAGCATAACATAAAAAACAATGACATACACATACAAGCTCAGGTGGGCAATGACCAAGCATTAATTAATCGGTATAAATGAACACTGTAGGCATCATAACTAATTCAGCTGGTTGAAGTGGTTATGGTGCTTGGCCCCCAATGATAAAATTGTGGAGGCGAGCATATATTCATCTTATGCTATACCAGTGGTAGTGGGAAGTAAAAGGCTGAGAATGTCAGCTGAGTGTTCTCAGCCAATCACATCCCCAATCCCTGGAATTAACTGCTATGGCGCCATGTCTTAATTCAGGGCCAGGGTGCAGGCTGCCTTAGACTGAGCATCTCTGTTAAATGGTGAGTAAATTATTTAGCAGTCATGCTGGTCTGCAGGTACATGGACTCTAGGGACCATAACAATTTCAGTTACTTAATGTGGTTATGGTGCTTGAGTGTTCCTTTAAGGACCTTGGTAAAATACACCAACAAATTAGTACTTGCATAAATAATTGAATAACCACACATTTTACGTATCACGTACGATGATAAAATGTAGTATTTCAATTAAATGAATAAATCCATTAATAATACCCATAAAGCAATCTGACCATCTTCATATACCACACTACGAACAATATTCATCCAAATAACACTTACCAAGAGGATGACTTCTGTCTCATGTCAAATACCATGAAAAGAAAATTATAATACAAAATTGCTCTCTCCCAACTCCCTCTTTTTATCTCCAACACTAGCGCACACTGCACTACTGCAATATACTCTTTTAAAACTCAGATTTTCCAGCCACTAACCTACAAGTTAATGAAATTGGACACACCTGACATCTGACCTTGTGACAATAATATAGTTCTTATGATATAATGTACTACTAGGATTTTTCATAGAATGCAGAATTTTTTTATATAATGAGTGTTTTTTTCCAAATAAAATAAATTAGGTCCAGTAATCAGGATTGCTGCAGGAAGGCAAGCTTGATAAAGGCCTCTGAATAGGCCAAAACGTTGCAGTTGATTAAGGCTTCTGTGTAAGCCGAAACGTTGCACTTTTTGTTCCAATAGTCCTGCCTTCCTGCAGCAATCCTGAGTGCCTGGACCTAATTTATTTTATCTACTAAACTGGGTTTTGCCAACCCTGCCCCTGATAAGCACCTCAATTCCTAAGTGTGAGTGCAGTATCCTCCATTTGTGGGGTTTTTTCTCCCATCATTATGAGGCTTAAGCAATTAGGGTTATGCATAAAGTTTTGGGGCAATATGTGAATTGTTCATATTCTGCAATTCTGAATTGACATATGGACAAATCACAAAACAAACAAAATGGGCAGCGAACAAGCCATTTGATTTGTTTTGTAACTCTGAGTTCCATATGTGGCCCCAGAAGAGGGGGTAGGGATGGAGAAAATATTTTTTTTTGTAACTGCAGTGCACTAATAGGTGCATTTTCAAGCCATTTTGGTTTTGTCTTAATAGTTTATGCAAGAATTTATCTGAACCAATATGACAGATGGAGGAAATTCAGTCTCAATGTATGTAAAGTCTAAAAAGAGTAATTCTATGACAATGTTTTTAAAGTGGAGCATTTGCCATGGAAACCATCTTAAGGTTGCTTATAACTGCTATATGCTTAGAATTTTGCATGAGAATTTCCTCAATTTTATTCAAACAATACTTTAATGTAGTGCAAGCAAGTATCATGATAATACTATTTTGCTAAACATGCATTGTTGGACTTGTTCACTAAAGCTGAGTTGAAGATTTTTTCAAAATAAGTTATCTAGTCATACACTTTGCAATGTGGTTTTTAACCTACTATAATTGGTGTTTAGTGAATGAACCATTGCATCACAAGTGCAAAATGTGACTGGTGATATAAAGATCTACCCACCGACTAACACATTAATTACCAGGAATTCATGAGAAATTAAAAGTTAATTTCAGAGTTTAGACTAATCTAACTGAACTGAAAAAATAACTGACTTGTAGAATTTTTCCAATTCAGCTTTTTTTTTGCCTATAAATTAAAGTTTACATCAAGGACACTCTGGAAAGTCTGAGGCTACTTAACTACATATACAGCAAACTGTGATACACTTTGTGTTAGGATATTTTTCTATCATGTCAGTGTAGCGGAATGGATGCAGTTATATACTTTTTACTCCCTTTGTTTCACTGTCCGTACCTCCCACATCCCCGTTCATCTACTGAACCCCATCTGTGTGGTCCATGTGTTTGCATCTTTTAACAACCGACCACCCCTGACTGTTAACCGCATGCGGTCAGCTGTGTTTTGCCGTCAAGCTCATGGAACTAAAATCGGACACGCGACAAAATGAACACCGCTGAACCTTATCTTCTTTGGAACTTCGACACTTCGGTGGGAGTCGAACGGTGTTCGACAATTCGAACGCCACTTTAATTTTGCCTATTTGCACGAACGAAGTCTTATGTGAATTGAATGTATACTTTTGAAGTTATGAGAAGTGTATAAAAATTTGGTTTTTCTGCTTGGAGATAATTGAGTTACTACAGTATCTTGCTCAATTATCTCCCAAGCAGAGGGGAGGGTTTGTGTGCAGTATTTGGGAGTGTCTAGATGTACAAGTCTCTCCTGATTGGTTTTTACAACTTTGTGTCCTGTGTACCACAAGGTCCACATGGGTGGTAACCTTGTGGGAAAATCTGTATATAAGTGCCAATAAACCCTTAGACTGGTGAGTTTCTGTTTTACCCTCAACATAGAGCCTCATCTCAAGTGTGGGGAAAAGGCTGCATCTACACTGGGGATTGCTATGTACTCCCCTGGCTATAATCACTAAGCTCTTTTAAGAGCTTGTTCCTGCTTCGCTCTCTGAAGGAAGAGAGGTTCACCCACTGGAGCCTGGAGCCTTGTTGTAGGTCCAGGGTGGGTAGGAGACGGCGAGACCCCAACCAAGCTGCAGCGGTTTGTGGGGTCTGCAGTGTTTATGGTGTCAAGTGGAGTGCTTGGAGCCCTCGGGAAGCACTAGGAGCCTCCATCAACAGAGGTACCCAGTCGGGGTGCCAGGTGATCCGTTACACTGTGTTTGTAGGGGAAGCACAGAGGTAGTTATTTGAAGAATTTTCTGTGGTTTTTAGTCTTGCTTCATGCTCCATCTCTTGGTCTTTTTCTTTAAGGTAGCTATTTGTTAATGCAGGTATCTGCCCTCTTTGATGTATGAATTCATGATATGGAACCTCATTGTAGGGAAATTTCTTATTTAATTTATTTAACAGATTTGCAGAGATTGTGCCAGAGGATAACTGGGCATGATTAGGTGGGCTCTGGGCATCAGAAAGCATACATAGGCTCATGGAGATGTTTGGGGATATAAACTACACTCTTAAAAGAGGTTATGAACTGGCTGGGTATGTCCCATTGGATGCATCAACTGGCTGTGGTAGGGATTGGGGACAAAAATTGCAAGGGGTATTGTATTTGCCTGAATGGACCTGCAGTAACTGGGAGCAGAGAAAATGGAACATATACAACCTATGAATAGGGTCTACTTATCATATGGATTCAGGGAAGAGTGATGAGATATAAGTTGGTAGGGGATGGGAATGGGAATTGTGTGGTGTGGGGGGGGGGAGGGGGAGTCACACAAAAATACCTAGTGGGAAAGAACTCAGTATAAAATGTAAATGCATTACTAATTGTAACATGGTAATGTGATATTTATACAGTCACTATAAAATATTGCTAATGGTGTATAATATGATGCTGGCAATTTATCTAGAATTTAATAAGATACTGGAGACAGGTGTCTTGTTAGGAGTAAATTGGCCATAGAATGGTCACAGAAACGAGCACCAATGAAGTTTGATTATCATGAAAATACACTGCTTCCAATTATCTTCACAACTCTAATACTGCAATATCATGTTGGTGATACTACCATAACACTGTGAATACCCCTTTATGATCAATATAATATACTTCATGTGATGCATTGTAATATAATGCTAGAGGTATATTGACTATAATATGCTATTAGTGCTTATGAATACTTTCTTATACATGTGGTCATTGATCCAAAGCTAAATTT